GATGTGGCTGGACCGTTTCCCACAAAGTCTGTAGGAGGCAAGAGCTACTATGTTTCCTTCATTGACGAGTACTCTAGATATGCCGACATCAAATTCATATAAAAAAAGAGTGAGGTTGAAGATGCTACAAAAGAATTCATCGTTCGAATGGAACGTCAGACTGGGAAGAAGATTAAAATTTTCAAATCCGATAATGGAGGAGAGTATAATTCTAATTCGTTGAAACTATATTTCGAAAGTATTGGTATAAAATCAGAACATTCTATTCCACGAGTGCATGAAACCAACGGATTAGCTGAACGTTTCAACAGAACAATAACTACGATGGCTAGAACAAATATTATTGATTCTGGACTTTCTGAATCTTTGTGGGCAGAAGCCATAGCTTATGCAGTTCACACCAAAAATCACCTTCCTCATGCATTCACTGGAAAAACGCCCTTCGAAATGTTTTATGATAAAAAACCGTCCATAAGCCATTTAAGAGTATTTGGTGAAAGTGCTTTCATCCATATTTCAGATGAAATACGAAGAAAAGGTGATAAATTCAAGGAGCGAGCCTACGAAGCATTCTTGGTTGGATATGGTGCTAAGGATGGATGGTATCGCTTCTGGACAGGAAACAAAGTTATAATCACTAGAGACTACTCTTTCTCACCTGTTAATGATGGAGCAATAATTATGAACCCATTGTATGAAGAAAAAGTTAGAAAAAAAGAATTCCAGGAAGAAAATGGTGACTGCAGCTCGAACAAAAATAAACAAATTCACATAATTGAATATAATAAGAATGATTCAGAAGATATATCAGACCTGAAAACTACCAAAAATGACAAACATGTCACTCAAAATGACGAAGACAGTTTCGCTGAAGAAAATAATACTCCAGATAATCATATTCCTCTACGGCGAAGTGCAAGGCAACATATTCCCCCAATAAGATTTCACGAAGAATTTTGCAATCTAGCTTTAGAAGAACCGATATCATTCGAGGAAGCTATATCTGGACCTGAAGCTAATGAGTGGAAACAAGCTATTTCTGAAGAGCTCATCTCTATGGACAAGAATAGAGTATGGGATATCGTTGAAGTACCTCCTGATCAGAGAATTGTGGAAAGTAAATGGGTGTTTAAGAAGAAACTATCAGAAAATGGTGACATTTCCAGATACAAAGCACGTCTTGTGGCTCAAGGTTTCAGCCAGGTACCCGGAATTGATTTTGCTGAAACATTTTCCCCAGTGGTTCGGTATGAAACCATCAGAATGTTATTAGTTTATGCCATACAAAACAAAATGCTATCGAGACAAATGGATATCAAAACTGCTTTTTCAAATGGAGATATTGATGTGGAAGTATTCATGAGAATTCCTAAAGGATTATGTGAAAAACCTGACAGGGCGTGTAGATTGAATAAGAGCATTTATGGTCTCAAACAATCACCTCGCCAATGGAATCAGAAACTGGTGATGGTGTTGAAGGAAATCGAGCTCAAACAATCTGTTGCAGATCCTTGTTTATTCACATCTGTGGACAGATGCCAGATTGTTGCTGTCTATGTAGATGATTTGCTTCTGCTAGGTTCATCAGAAGAAAAAATCAAGATCATCGAAGATGTGTTAGTAAAACATTTCGAAGTCACATTTTTGGGAATACCAAAATATATCCTGTCTATTCAAATCACTTGGCATGATGACTATCTAACTTTATCGCAAGATCGATATCTGATTCAGTTACTAGAGAAATATCAGTTTCATAAATGTAAAACCTCCCCAGTTCCTATGGATCCTGGAGCAAAACTGGAGAAAGCAAAACATAATGATTCTAGGGCAGATAAGAAATTGTATCAATCTCAAATTGGCAGTCTTCTGTATCTAGCATTGGGAACAAGACCCGATATTACGTATACCGTGAATATTTTATCACAATTTTGTGTTGATCCAACTACTATTCAGCAAAACTTGATTCATCATCTTTTTCGCTACCTGAGAGGATCTATGGACAAAAAACTCATTTTCAAGCGAACAAAAACACCTGCATTGAGAATTTACAGCGATGCTTCATTTGCAAACTCCTTGGATGACCGAAGATCTTATATGGGATACATGGTTTTTTATGGTGAATCAGTTGTATGTTGGTCTTTGAAAAAGCAACAGAGTGTGGCAGTATCAACGACTGAAGCTGAATATATGGCTGTGTCAGCCTCTTGCAGACAAGCAATGTGGATATCTCAGCTGATGAAGGATTTGGGTCAAGAAGTTTGTCCATTGTTGCTGTGTGACAATCAATCAACAATTTATCTATCAGTAAATCCTGTTCTACATCAGAGAAGTAAGCACATTGATGTGCACTACCACTATGTCAGAGAATGAATTCTTAGCCAAGTTGTCGACATTGCTTATATCGCTTCTAAAGAAAATGTTGCGGATTTGCTTACTAAGCCACTGAAAAAGGAGCAGTTTGTTTATCTTTCATCTATGTTTATGAAGAATTCAGATTGAGGGAGGCTGTTGAAGAAACAATCTTCATTCATCATATTTTCATCTTATTTGATACATTCTGTATACAGTTGCTATGATTTTGTTTTTAGTTCTTTCGATATAATAAAAAGGTGTTACATCGTTCCATAATAAGCAATCTCTGCAGATATACAAAGAGTACCATTAACAAAAGTTGCATTCGGAGCTCGACGTCACAAACTTGGATCATTCATTAGGCCAACATCATAAACAAGTCTGCAAAAAATCAGAACTATACCAGATCTGACGCATACTATACCCCCATATGTCCAGGCGACAAAGTTACTGGACTAATGATAATATTCAATTATCAACTAAGAGTATATATTTCTTCACCCACACCAGACGGCATTCATTATTACAAAATCTTTGTTATCAGTAACCAATTATTTAATATTTATTCATGAGTACAGCATGAAAAGGAATCCTCAATAATTGATAATGAACAAATATTTTGTTACCTGATATAAATTGATATCATTCAATCTCTTCATCTCAGAAAAATTTAATTGTTCCATTTATTCTCCTGATGTTGTATTACCACCACTCGTGGATCACCCCGAGACACCTCCTCGGGGTTGTCAGTAACAAATTCAGTAACAGTCAAAGAATATCATTTATAAAATTAAATAACCAAACTATTCAATCAGGGCTGGTTGCGCATCAACCTGTTACATTATAACTCATGAGCTCTGAGCTATGATGGCATACCTATACGTTTTCGATTTCTATATGATTGTGCAACCGATCCTCAATGAAACCCATACTACTCTTCCTCAAATTCATGCAAAGCGAATAATATAAGAAATTCCTCTTTTTTTTTTTCATCGCTTGGAGCGCACGAAAGGGAATCCCTATAATGTTCAAAGAACATCGTGCGTTCCTAGGAAGGATAGGGACAGGATGTAGGTATTGGAATTTTTTGTTGAACTTCTGGAGATAATATGTTGTTGGGAATACTTCCACAGGCAATGAATTCCAGAGCCTAGCCGTTCTATGGATGAAGGAGTCTTGATAAAGTGCTGCTCGACATCTTTCGGGGTTGACAACGAAAGGATGTGCTGACTGGGCTTGTCTAGTTCGTCTGATTGGTATTGCTAGTGAAGGGATGATATATAGCAGAGATTTCCGAAGAACATGATGATGACTATAGCTAATAGCTATTCGCATCTTTCCACATACAAAATGTTCCAATATTGTTTGATTAGCTACACATGTGCCACTGTTTTTTTAAAAACATACTAAATGTAGTATAACAGATGCACTGATAGTCAGCTGCCAATTTTTTCATATCATATATCTTATATGAAATTATCCCAAGAAGCAAATTGTAGACGTAAATATACATGTCCGACTGTATATACAAAGTCGCACTTCCATAATAGCGGATCGGATATCACACTTCACGGCTTTCACTGTGGTCGGACTCACAAATCACAAGTAAATCACCAAATATATCATAAAGATGCTCACGCAATATAATATGGAAGCTGAACTACAATAATGGCCCACGTGACAATTTTTTTAATTATTACCAAATGAATTATACGAATTGCCAAACGAATAATGAAATGAGATGTCGCTTGTTATCGTTTATGTATAGTATGACCCACTTCTAATGGAAACATCCCTGTATTTTACGTAATCGTTGGGTAAGGATCCTGAAGTTCTCTCTCTCTCTCTCTCTGGCAAATTTAAGGATACTTACCCAACGATCACGTGAGATAAGTGGATTTGTAATGAACAAATTCATCATAATAAAGAAACACATTCATGTATTAACAGTCGCACGGTATCATTCTATATTATTATCAAATCAAATCATGATTTTCAATTCATTTCTTTTTATCACTGCGTAAATCGGCGCAAGAGATGAATTGTCAGTTATTAAAAAATTTTGTTCACAATGAACAAATATAGCAGAATCATTTATTGTTAATGAACAAAGCAAACCATCAGTTATACGATTTTGATGAATTAGCCTTTTTAATTATGAATATATGGCTAATTAATTATGAATAAATTTGACGTTAACAAACATTTGATAATTATTTCTGATATTTTTCTTCTGGTGTATTGAGTAAAATAATTTTTGATGAAGCAATTTCTTTAGAAATTTTAATTCTTCAACCTACCTAATTGCACCAATATATCATCATCAACATCAAATTGTTCATTCCGAACTGACGAAATAGTTCGGACCAGAGGTCAAATGTATGTTCCATCAACGGAAAAATACTTCCCAGCCTGGTTTCGTGCCATTTAGGCGAGGCCATCCCTGCGAGCCGATGAAATGTTAATAGTTCGTGGCATCGCTCCATTATTTTAATTGGGCCTCCGGTAATTACAACGTCTGCTCCGGTGATTACAGCTTAAACAAACACACGAACGTCATGAGAAAACCTGGCTGGCCATAAGTCGGCAACCGACGGCACTCGAGCTTTATAATGTCCGATGCAAATTGTATTCTTGTGCAAAGGGAAATGGCTGCTCCAACATTCGGTCAGTGGTAAATGAGTGTTCGCTTGTTTTTGAATTATTCATAACTGTGGAGATGCATCGCAGAGCAATTTTCATGAGGTAGGTAACGAGAATTAATGGGCCATCACCTATCAAGCAATTCCACTCTAGTTTCAACGGTAAATCACAAAAGTGTAACACTGGTCGAGCTAACACCATCAGTGGTGGCGAAGCAATATTTCCTTTTGTTGCTGGCCTAGTAAGAAAAGATAGATAGATAGATAGATCACTTGTCTTTTAGATGCATTGATAATACAAATTAGATAAGTCATTATATTCAGGGTGTCCGCTAAAAGGAGGTCAATACATTAACCACATATTCCTTGAACAAAAACAATATGAGTTTCTAAATATCATTTTTCATTTTAGCCCTTCATATTCGGTATACAGGGTGTCAAAGTTGGAAATTAAAAACTGTTTTTTTCTAATTACTCGCGTATTTGATAAGATATTAATCTCAAAATTGGTACATTACTTCAGCACAAAGAGTTACATCGTGTGAGGAAAACAAAACAGAAAATAACTGTCAAATATTCAAGATACCGGGGGTCAAGTTCACACTTACCCCCATATTTTGTTTGTACGTGCGCTAATGACTTCCTATCTATTTTCCTTCAAGTGTTCAATCATTTTTGAGTATTATATATTAAAGTTCGTTCAGAATAGGCTCAAGATATAATCGCATCGAATACAATTCGAACTTCAGAATCTGCAAGTGGATAACCTCTTCTTTATAGTGTTACTACTGATGATATCGACATTTTCGTCACTTCAGAAGTTGCAAATACCTTCAAAAACGGCGATGAAACTATCTCGGAAACTATTCAAACGCAGTTCTCATGAATTTGTTCATTATTTTTGAGAGAAGTAATTAAATTATTAGCAGGACATGTAGAAAGTTCAATGAAATCCATTCGAATATTATATCAATATTTTTTTCATGGTTTTGTTATTCCATATATCGATATACAGGGTGTTTCGAAATTCGACCGACAACGTTTGACAGGTGATAGCCCTCGTGATTTCATAATCATTGAGATAGGAACATTCGGTCTTCAAGTGTTCAGTTCTCGAGATACAGGGCGTTGAAGTTGAGAAATGAAAATAGTTGTTTCGCAATATCTCAAGAATAATTGAATATAATGCATTCAACTTCGGTATATGGTTTCATCTTTGAATGGGCCATTTTTTGACCTGGAAGCCATTCCGGACATTTTGTCCAGTGGTGCCCTACAGGGGGTTGTGGCATTTTTTCCTTCCATATTTTCTACGCCACTGATTGAATTTCGATTATTTCCAATTCCTCGAATTCATTGTTCAATTTTGTTCAGAAAATGCATCACCTTCAACTGAGCTGAAATAAACAGTTTTCGAGATATTCGACCCAAAATAGAAGATTGCATAGTAATATTTCATCATTTTCAGTAGTAGAAAATTGCAAAAATATTTTTCTGGTGTTGAGTAGATTAGATACTATTCAGATCTCATGCTATAGCTGAACAGAAATAGTTATTCCACGCATAAAGAGAGAACAAAAATGTTCGTAATTTTCTAATACTGAGGAAGATGAAAAATTACTATGCAAACTTCTATTTTGGGTCAAATATCTCGATAACTGTTCATTTTAGCTTAGTTGAAGGTGATGCACTTTTTCAACATAATTGAACAATCAATTCGAGAAATTAGAAATAATTGAAATTTCATCAGTGGCGTAGAAAATATGTGCGGAAAAGTTATCACAACCCTCTGTAGCGCACCTCTGGATAAAATTCTCGGAATGTCTTTCTGGTCAAAAAATTAACCATTGGGAGATCAAACCATATACCGAATTTGAATGCATTTAATTCAATTTTTCATGAGATATCGAGAAAAAACTATTTTAATTTCTCAACTTCAACGCCCTATATCTCGAGAACTGAACACTTCAAGACCGTCTGTCCCTATCTCAGTGATTATGAAATCACGAGGGCTATCACCTGTCAAGCGTTGTCGGTCGAATTTCGAAACACCCTGTATACCGATATATATGGATAAATCGATATCTTTGCCCAGCCCTAGTTCAATCTCCATATATCATACTTGTTCGCCATTTTGCATCTAAGAAAAGTTAGTTGAACATATAGTTTCTTCAATTCTATTCTTATTTTTTTATGATTGAATCCAGTTTTTGCAATGTGTAACTTATTGTCATTTTCCACTTATTAGTGTAACATGTCCCAATCAAAAGTAATGAAGCAGAATTAACTGCACATTCTTCCAGTTAACTTGTGGAGACGACTTTGAGTTTTTGGCTCGTTGTTCTAATTATGTATTAGAGGAAGTTATTCGATTATGTGTGTGAAACTGATCCGGATATTTGAAATTATACCAGGCGCGTTGGTTATCCGGATCCATTCCCATGAAATGTCATCGTTTAGAGTCGATGATTGCCTTTGTTTAGTTTTTAATACACGTTTCAGAACTAGAAGTTAATGATGAGATCAAGAATATGCCTTTTGTTATTTTCGTCGACCCTACTAGGATTAATGATGGGATTTAATAAGAACGAAAGGAAGTCATAATTGTTAGCCATCTCATTATTTATTATTTTGGTTCGGATTATGATTGATATGTTAGCAGTTATACAGACCAATGAATATAATGGCTCAAAAATAATCAGAATGGAGGTTGATTACTTAGTGATTATGAACTTTTTCTGCTTCCTTTCTTCATTTGATAATGACATGCTTCATTCAATCATACGTTTTGATTTACAAGTACTAAACTATATAGACTGAATTTGTACAGGGATATACGCTCATCCTTCTATATTCACATTATTCATTAGGAAGAAAAAGCAGATACAGGGTGATCAGAATTCTAAATCTTGAAATACCCTGTATTTTTTTCCAATTAAATCTCAGTAGATATGGAATCGAAAGTGAAGTTATGGACATGAAAGCCGTTTCGATCGATAATGAATAGTTTCGACACAAAAAAATTCTAAAATTGACAAATCTCGATTTCGAACACCATATATCTCTGTAATCATTCCTGCTAGTCATCAAGTGTGATGCATTGATGAAATGAGCTCTTCAGGAAGAATCTTAAAATGGTATAATATACAGGGTGTTCCATTTGAAATAACAAAGGTGCTAGTTGTTTCTGATAGAAGTGGCAACACTGTATCGATGAAAATATTGTAGACGGATAGAAAATGTTCAATTATCGAAGCATATCAATTTCGTTCTTCAGATACGTCTAATAGGCCATCTACCGTGGATCACCCTGTATGTTCACATGAGATTTTTATCTTGAAATATCATACCTTGCAAAATATCGAATACTAGATGATCAACCGAAATAAGTATACTTATATACAGGTTTTGAGATAAACTCCAAAAGAAAGAGTAAGCTCAAATGAAAGCTCAAATGGAATGAAACGATGACGCCTATACGATTTCTGATCTGATTCGGTATACCCATGCTGTTTATGAATAAGCCTGGATATGTTAATGATCATCCGAATTTCTTTATTGCTGATCGGGTTGCATATAGGTTATGCATTTTTCACACGAACCACCGTATGCATACATAACCGAAAGGAACACTAATAAATCTTATCCCTCGGAGGATAACAGTATTTATGAAGGATTAGATAAATCGCAAGTGTTAATTCAAGAATGTAATGACCGTTTATTATTGCATTACAACCTCTCGGTATTTTTTATCCGATTTTATCGGGTGCGCCAAGCTTATTATTACCTCGGACTTATGTGAGGAGGCGAATACGTGTATTTTTTGTACGCGATATTTGATGTTGATATCCTTGTAATTATTTTTAAATACACATAATTATGGAGTAACCGATGGTCCTTATCGAAAAATTGCGCCCAACTCGTTGAACATTATCGAAATAATGAGATTATGCATACTCGAGAGGATGTTACCAGAAGATTCTTCTCGGAGATTTTCAATAATTTTAACGAAGTAACTGTGAATGGTTCGATAACCGGAATGTTCTCTGATTACCTTACCAAGATTTCTGTGAAACTGACGATGAGAAGAATTCTATAAGATCTATCCAAGGACCCGAGGCGGATATTCGTGAACATACATGATCTGAAATCTGTTCAGAGGCCTTTGGCCCTGGGCCGAAAATATCGCCAGAAGAGGTTTGTCAACATATACTCATAATATAATCGTCAAGAAGGTACGTCTCGTGAATATTCTACCGATGAAATATACTCCATAATAATGTGAATCCCTTCGAGAAACGTACAGGAGATGATAACAATAGAATGGAACAAGGTTTTCTGAACACCTATATACTTTTAAATCAAACGATTCGAATATTTATGTTGTTCAGATAACATACCCCATACTTTCATCAGGCGCGTATCTAAAGGAGGAGGTAGAGGGCGTAATCACCTCCCCCCTTCCCAAAGCCCCTCCTCAATCCACGAAAAATATTCACAAAAAATACAAAAACTCAATAAATTGATAACCAGGACATACAAGTTTACTGTTACTCAAATATATAACTATTATCGAAAACACATTATTACTCCTATTATTTTTCGCCGGTATCAAGTATGGTACCTATAGAATGACCGTATATACTACTACTTACCCTATTCGTCGAACACCACAGGTAACATCTGTATTTGAATTTGTTTCTCCTTGACCAGAGATAAGTGATCCACAACATAGATCTAAATACATGCCCACAACTTGTAGCCACTAGCAGCACCCCGGACAGGGTTGCCATCTTGGCTGTTTTATCGCTAAATCTAGAGTTTTCAGGGTAGGTGAATGCAACATTTCAACTTGATTTGCGACGTGTCGGAATTCTAGCGTTTTCAACATAGTCATAGCAGTTTATATGGAGACATTCTGATCACATGAATTGGTGATGACGGATATATGAATTCACATTGGAACATTGGAGACGATGACATGGTTTTTTCCATCATTGGTGCCACTTTTGTCACTTTTTAATA